GTGGAACTTTGGCAACACAAGTGTTTCTTCAGGTACTGTCATGGTTACTTTTCTCTCATTGCTGGGACAAAACACTTTCCTTAATTCAAAATTAAGGAAGAAGAGATTTATTTAGTGCACAGTTGTGCAGGTTTCACTCCATACTTGGCCGCCTCCATCGCAGAGTGGCACAAGGTGGCGGGCAACAGTTCATGGTGGCAGAAACAAGCAAAAGCAACCAGAGCAGAAAGGGAGGAGCAGTGCGAGGCCCTCCGTGCCCCTCCCTTGTATCGTACTCAAGACACCCACGCCAGGGCGGGTGTAGCACTCACACCCATAATCCCAGCATTGGACCATGAATCAATCACAAGTCAATCTAGAAGTCAGCGCCATGCTTGCATTAGATTTGAGGAGAATCTAGACACAAACCGTAACAGGTACCTTAAACATATCACTTGATATAACTTCTGTAACCAGAATTACTTTTCAGAAAAAAGTCATGAGTGGGGGTAGGGGGTGGGGAGATGGCTCAGTAGAATAAGCGCTTGCCTGGCAAGAGCAAGAGCCTGAGTTCAACCACTGAGTCTGCCAAAAGCAAACAAAAAAATAAACAATGGGGAGATAGCTCAGTAGGATAAGTGCTTGCCTGGCAAGTGCAGGGTCCTGAGTTCAATCCCCAGTACAAAAAAAAAAAGTCATGAATTCTATTCTTTTTTATACAGGGTGTTGAGGGTCTCACTACTAGGTTGGACTCGTAGTGATCCTCCTGTGTACAACCTCCCACATGCTGGGATTTTTGATAGTGTCTACAAGCACACTAGTAATAGTTGCATGCTTATGCTTAAATTTTAAGGTACTGTCACAGGTTTTCCAAAGCATGTGCAAAATTTTAGATTCCAACCAGGAATTGAGGTTCTCTGTCTCTGTGTCTGTCTGTCTGTCTGTCTGTCTCTGTCTGTCTCTGTCTGTCGCTGTCTCTCTGTCTCTGTCTCTGTCTCTCTCTTTCTGTCTCTGTCTCTAGCTCAGTGGATTAAAGTACCTGCAAGCAGGAGCTTGAGTTCAATCCCAGGGCCTACCAGGCCGGCCCCACTCCCAAGGTGCGCTAAAACTGCAATTGAGACTGGGCATAGTGGTGTGTTCCTGTAATCCCAGCACATGGGAGGCTGTAAACAAGAGAATCAGTATGAGTCCGATCTAGTAGTGAGACCCTGAACACCCTGTAGACCCTTCCCTAAAATACAAAAATAAATAAAGAAAGAAATATTTTTGAGACAGGGTCTCGTTGTACATTTTCGGCTGGCTTTGAACTCACTTTGTAGCCCAGGCTGGTCTCAAATTCACAACAATCCTCCTGCCTCAACCTTCTGAGTGCTAGGATTATAGGCTTGCGCCACCTAGGTTAGTTTAGGTAATTATTTTGTTCCATTATATACTGATGTCCTCTTTTTTGTTTTTTATTTTTATTTATTGTGATGCTAGGGATCAAACACAGGTTCTTGTGCATGCAAGGCAAGAACTCTGCCACTGAGCCACATCACCACCCCTTCCTTTTGTCTTGTTTTGGTACCAGGGATTGAACTCGGAACCTTGAATTTGCCAGGCAAGTGCTTATTCTACTGAGCTATCTCCCTGGCCCAGCCCCTTCCTTTTGATTTTGGTTATGCTGATAAGTCATCAGCCATGTCTTCTTGTGGGTTTAATTTAAATTTGTCTAATAACTAACGATGTTCAAAATATACACATTTTGTGGTTGTCATTTGTGTATACTTTGCAGTGCAATGTTCAATAATGTTTTTATCATTTTTTTCTTTTAATGTTAAGTTTGGGGAATTTTTAATATACCTTATGCTTTAGTTTTTTTGTTTTTTATAGTATGGCCATTGTTTCTTTTTTTTCCATAAATTTATTGAGAAACAAATAGCAATGAGATAGTTTCAAACCAAACTGGTAGGACAGTTTCAATAATTAACACATTGAATACATTCTTCCTAGTGGTTAATTGCTGTACAAGATGCAGACATGATATCCTACTTACAAACACCATTAGAATGAATCCCTCTATTCATTAAGAGAATGTAACTATATATCGATCCTAGCCATTTGAATA